AATTATCAGACACACAGCTCAACACAGTATGTTGGGGAAGAATCAGTATGGCTTTTGTAAAGGAAAATCATTCCTTATACATTTGTTAGAATTCTGTGAGGGTATTCACAGCAACATGGGTCAAGGTGATCCAGTTGATACGTACTTGGATTTTCAGAAAGCATTGGACAGGGTTTCACATGGAAGGCTCATAAGCAAAACATGAGCAGCTGGGGTGCCTTCATGGATGAGCAGCGGTTAAAAGATAGGAAACAATGGGTAGGAAAAAATGGGGATCCCCTAATGATCTGTACTGGGACCAGTGCTGTTCAGTATACTCATAAATAGGGTTACAATTTTGTCACAGAGATCATGAAAGTTGTGGAATCCATGACTTTCAGAGACTCCCATGACCTGAGTTCACAATTTCTGGGAGTCACAGGGTCCTCCCATCAGCCATGGTGTGGGGAACTGCAGGAAGCCCCCAAGCTCCCAGCTGCAGCAAGTGGGGGCGCTCTGCAGTGAGGGTAACCCAGAAATTGGAGCTGCCATGGACAGCTGGGGTGCCCTTTAGCTCCCCCTGCCACAGATGATGTGGGAACCCTGCAGCTCCTGACTGCTGTGGACAGCAGGTCACCCAATAATTTCCAGCTGTGTGAGCAGTGTGTGTGCGCGTGGTGGGGAGCTTGTAGGAGCTACAGCTGCTGCGGGTGACAGGGGTGCTGTGTAGCTCCCTATTTTGTCATGCATATTTTTAGTAAAAGTCTCAGATAAATCCTGGAAGCCCATGACCTTTTCTTCATTGTCTGTGACCAAGTGGTCTGGAAAAGGGAGGTGGTGCAGTTCGCAAGAAAGTACAAAATAATTCAAGGTAGCTAATGTAGTCGTGGTGGAGCTTTGCCAATCCGAGGATATTGGGGAGGGAGACCAACTTCTGTTGGTGTGAGGAACAAGCTTTTGAGCATACACAGAGCTTTTCTTCGGTATTTGAACAATTTAGCATAAGCAGATAACTCACATTTTTAGGGACTGTTCAAGGTGAAGAGGCCCGTGAACCCTTCAGTCATGGGGGGGAAGGAAAGAGAGAGGGGAGAGATACAGCTGGCAGGGGGACTTATTGGGGAGTTACAGATTGTTGTACTAAGCCATAAATCCAACATCTCTGTTCAGTCCATGATTTTTAGTATGTAGCAAAGTCATGAATTTAAGCTCACAGGCTCCTCTTTAAACAAGTGTTGTGCTGGTTTCCCTTGAGGATGAGGACTGATAGGTATAGATTGATGACTTTATATAAAGCGTTCACCCTGAGGTGATGGTGTTTTTGTCTTTTTGTGTGTGTGTGTGTGGGGGGGGGTCATTTGAGAGCGTTGTGATTGCCTAGATTCACCCTTATAGTTGCTATTGGGTCATTATGTACCTCATTCAGTGTTACTATATATGCTCACAGGAATGTATGGGACCTATGGATCCTGAAAGGTGTGTTTGAGTGATGTTGATCATTGTAGCTTGGAGATATGTCTGCAGGCTTTGCATCTATTGTTCTAGTAGGATGGGGTGCCACTTTGAGTTGGTGTGTACTGCTCTGTGGGGAGCTTGCTTAGAAAGACTAAGCTGTTTGAGGGTCATACTTGATATGGACCCCCTCCTGAAAGAAAATCTTTCCTGAAGCCCCTCCGCTGGCCTGTTCACCTTAGAAAAGAGACTTAGCAGTCTGCAAAACCAGGAATTGCATGGAGGAAGTGAATAAGGAAGTGTTTGTTAGGTAAAGGAGTGAATAACAAGAACACAATTCACAATTGTAGTTCACAATTCTGTGGCCAACCTTATCATAGTTAGGTGATAATATTTTGAACAATCCTAAAACAGTTGGTTTGGACAATTTGAAACACATTTTATTTGTGCATCTTTTAACTTTAATTATTCTGAAATATTATTGTTCCTGAGCTTTTTCTTCAATAATTACATTTTACGGTTGGCATTTTTGCATGTTCATTGATGTATCTATACTATGTTTTATTTATTTTGGTGACCCTTCCCCCTGCCCCTTTTTGTTAGAAGTAATTAGCTTTATTTAGAAAGCAGTTATGACTAATTAAAGCTTAGCTTTAAAAAAAAAAAAAAATCACAGCATCTCAGGAAGTATATTATGAAATTTAGTTCGTCTTTTTTATCTCTAAATCCTATAGAATTTAAACATTTTGTTACTTAATGATGAGGCCTCATAAAAGAGCAAAATGCTTTCACATGTTAGCTAGTACATTTGGATTAGCAGTGAATAATAAAATATTAAAAATACTATATTTGGGGAGTGTGTGTGTGTGTGTGTGTGTGTGTGCGCACGCCTATGTTTCAGTATAACTTCCTTTCAAGATGGTATAAAACCTTTGTGTATTTGACCTGTTGTAATTTTTTATTTGTTTTGTTCTTTAAAATATTAGCGTTTTCTTGTGCATTTCAGTATACATTTGTTTATTAAATAAAATTATCAGTTTAATAATTATTTGTTTTGTCTTCTAATGTTTAAGGTTTTAATTGCTCCCTTAAAATTATTCCACTTTGTAAGTGTTTAGAAAATTGGTGGTATAATCAACAATATATAATGCTTTGGCCTTTTTTTTTAATAAATTATTATTTTTTTAAATAAATTAT